TGTATCATGAATAATGTATTCAGTACAATACACATACATGAGAAATAGCAACATGATGTCATAGATATTTAAGACATGAAAAAATATATATGAAATTAGCAACACTAAACATGACAATTTACTTCAAATGCTGTAATCCCAACTTTTTCATCTACCAATCATCAGAAACTATACAGAACCCTAATCTACAACATGAAACATTACTACATAACATCAGAGTTGGCCACTGGTAAAAGTACCACCATTAATGCCTTAGTACTGCTTATGGTATATCTAATATTTTTGGAATCTGTACTTCTACAGGTACCAACGGTAGTTTTGCAGCCATTTCTCTAACAGTCGCAGTATGCAGTGCTCTTCGGGGAAATAAATTAAATGTTGGGACAGTGTTTTGGTAGGGAATTTGTAGAGCAGAGCCGTGTCAGTATTGTGCTGTGTAGCATGTAGGTTGCCATGGTGACACTAATGAGAGCAACATTGTACCTGTATCTATACATAAAAAAAATTGCTGTATCATTCTCAATAAATGCACAATGGCAGGATGAATTAGTTTATCTTACAAAGATGGTAATCACTGTTCACTGACTGCTTCTTCCAGATTGGTTCCAACAGGAAATATAGCCTCCCATGACAACAAACTTAACATTACATGCATCAATGGTAATGGCACCCTCTTGATAATATCTGTCTTTTTTTATTACATTATTTGTCCTATTTTGTAAATATTTGTTTTTAGGTTTCCTGACAACTCTGATGTCTGGTGACTTGGAATATTACAGAATATCATATTTTCTACTTTCAGAAGTATTCAATTAGCTAGTTAATTTTAGAAAAAGTGTTGCTGTAGTAAGCTGTTGCACCGCCAAATCATCTGCATTCTGCCACTAACAGGAGCAAACGAGCAAACTATCGGACTTACAGGACCAGTCCCCACCACTGTTCCTCGCACCTCATCTGCCATGTGACTTCGTGCTGGACTCTGCGAGGTGGTACTTGGAAGAGATACAGAGAGCAGAGTGCACACCAGGTCGCAAGGTGGAACGCCCTTGTGATATTTCATCCGATTACGCCAGTGGCCCATGCTCCTGCCCACCTTGCCTGCGACGAGTTTAGCTGACTTTTTGTAACACCCACCACTTTTTTGGCAAATGTATTCACCACATGCCAGTGTCATTCTGTTTTGATTCCTCTTTTTTTTTTTTGTTAATAGAGCCAGTTCATGTGTATTGGTGTTTTTAATGCCTTCCCAAACCATTGGTTACCACCAGTGAAATGAGTAAAATGTAATAATAAGTACACTCGAAAGACAGCAGAAATATGCAACAGAATTGAGGAAAAAAGTGGTATAACACAACATTGTAAGACAAAGTAAAAAAGGTATTGTTACCACTGGCATTATTTATAAATAGTATCCTGCACTGCAACTCTAAGAGCTTTATAATTACCACATGTCCATCTTACATAACAAATACATATATTCCAAATATATTTCATAAACATTACACATACTACAAGACATTATTATCCAAATAACATCTATATTCTTAGGTTTCAAAACTGGATGGAGTACAGTATTAAATATATATCTTATCAATATCACCTCAAATAAGTATCATTACATGTGCTAAATTTACAAATTATCATATTAACCTTTAACAAACATACCTGAAATACTCATAACCATAGATTACATTAAAACTTTATCCCAAATCACATTTACTACCTAATAATAAACTCTTTTAATATGGTAAAGGTCTTGTCTTCTTTTTTTTTTCTTTCTTTTCCTTTCTTTAATCAATATAGGCATGTAATTTTTTCATACAATAAAGGAGTATTGATAATAAACGTAAAAAGAAAGGCCAATGGAAAGAATTAGGAGAAACTTGTATACTGTTATAAAGTATGATTTGAAAATTATAATATAAGTAAAAAGAAAAGAAATGGAAAAGTAGTTTTCATAAAAATAGTGTATGGTTAAGGTAAAATTGGTCTGTTACATAACTGGACAATCAAATTTACTGCAGATCTCCCTAGAATGTAAAAATCACGCATAAATTAAAAGGTCCAATCAGGAAACTACCCTTATTCTAGTAAAATTTACTTCAGATGGGATTCATCAAGTTTTAAAAAAGACTGCTGTTACCAATAAAGGAGACAAACAGTAACTACATTTGGACGTACAGTACGAGACAGTATACTAGCCTAATCACAAAGGCAAACCATGAAATATATCACACCATGAGATAGATTAGCCTGACTTCAGCATATAAGAGAGAGCTATTAGAACTAGTAAAAGCATTTTGTGAATGGGTGCTCTCAGTTTACAACATAGTGTATTTCAATACACTTACAGTATTCAGAAATGGCATTTGCATTTGCCAGCACAAAGATAGCAACTGCTTTTATGGTCATTTGCAAAAGTTGTTACATATGAATAAGGATAAATGGATGGATGGATAAACAGATAAATAGATAGACAGATATACACCTTAGTCCCATATCTTACCTCATGAAACTAAATCATTCTAACACTAATGTCAAACTCACTGGCAAATATATTAAAGCCATGCCAACATATTGAATAAAGTCCCTGCAATATGACCAGCTTGCTGTTATTTCCTTAATCATCATGTTGAATAAAGATAAAATATTTTAAAAATGTAACTCTGTTATTGATATATCTATATTTCTAAAGGACCATTAACTTTATGACCCCCTCACCAAAAAATATACTGCAAAATTTTCTGTTCAAAAAGTACCCACCATCAAATGGTAGATGTCATATCTAATACATTCTAAAATGTGAGGATATTCTTAAATAAAAATGAATAAAACAAGTAAGTACAATATTTCAATTCTAATTATCTAGGCAGACTTCCGTGAAGGAAGAAAAAAGCGTACCCGGTTTAGTACACTCACAACAACAAAGTCTCTGCCCTTTGTTTGATTGACATATAATGAAAAAAGGGAATGAACATTTGTTAGGCCTGCTGTCTAGGACATTCATTTTGTTTCTGGCATTTGAATGGCGTGTGAAGGACTGTACATCACTGATAGAAGAGTAATATGATAATGTTAATATCAGTACAATGAGTCACAATGTGAGCAAAACTGCTGAATGCCCATCACTACTGGTTTTACATATGATGTTATATTCTACTCAAACTCCTTATACTCTATGACAATAAAACTGTAGAGTGCATTTATCATGTCTCTGTGGGATGCATCTCACACTGACAAATAACAAAAATATGAAGTGTTATCACATCCAAATGTATTTGACCTTGGAGCTGATGTGTTTCAGCATGACTGTAAAAGAATACAATCACATTTGCATAACCACCAGTAAACATTTACTTCTTAGTTCATAATCACAATCCATCTATAAAAAATATAATGGACATTCCTTTACTGCTCTTCTCTACATCATAGGTACGCAATCACTTTGGTTATCTTTACTACATAAATCGCTCTCTGTAAACTTAATAACTGGTTAGGCAGGTAAACATTAGATAATCCTCTAACTCAAAACATATTTTCAATCTAGAAGATACAACCAACTGCTTAATTTTTGTACTGTTTAACATTCTAATTACTATCATCTAATGCATTCTATTACATGGAATCAGCATCAACTTTCTGGCAACTGATGGTCCTCTTTCTATTTGTTCTGAATTGCAAGCAGACACCTGAATTCCCTGTAACTGCTAGTATAGTTCACTGAGTATGGCAACCAATTTCTTATTTGGATTTTAGACACTGAAAAGGCATTATTTTAAATATTTTGGCACAACCTGAATGTCTCTGAGATCATTTCTGAATAATATATATAATGGAATAAAAGTTGGACATGTTGCCTTCTATATAAAATTGCAATAAATATTATGAAATGCATAATAATACCTGTAACAATTATTACAGAATGATCGAGAATAGAAGTGTAATTTGCTAATTTCTTCACATTCGGGAGACACTATACTTGACTTGTTGATCAAGTGACTGAATGTGTTTATATTCATCGTCCACTATCGTTTTGTTTTATTAAGATTGCTTAATGTTTACTGAAATTCTTGGTCACCATGGAGTCAATTACTTAGTCAATCTGACCATACCTACTTAGCTGACTCCTTGAATTTTTGTGAAAGAAAACTTTATATTACTATCATTGTTATAATTTTCATCATGGTGATATTAATGACCATAATAACACTAATAGCAAAAATAATATAACTGCAAAAAGCTTTTTTTCACCCAAAATTCATGGAATAGGGCAAATAAGTGAGATCAAGAGACATGACAATTGACTCCTTGGTTCTAAGTAGAGAAAACTACATTGAACACTGGACCAGTGGTTTTATGCCTACGGCTAAAACTGCTGGAGGTTTTACTGATAAAGCTATTGGAAGTAAACAGCAGTATATAATGCATAAGTTCCTTTCACTTTCTCACAAAAATCTAAGTACTGCTTAAGCTTTCCCCTTTGTCTAAATCTTTGTTAAATATCTCATCAAATTTGGGGTTATGGGGAAATGACTGATTACTGTGATAGCACAATCCAGACCATACACTTTCTCATGAATATCCAAAGGTGAATTACACAACATAAGTCTGATCACTCATTAGTTACACTGCAGTTATTAGTGCTGCTGTAATGATATTGTGGATATCGTAACCACTTATACTTACATTTATTCCTGCTTAAGGTATAGTGAAATTGTTAATAGTGGCACTGAACACACAAAAGTCCCAACTGATGTCATGTAAGGAATAAGTGTTATGAAAAAGCCAGTGTTCAGGTTTAGATAGAGAGCAAGATAAGCTATGAAACTGATTACTCTGTGGCCACTAATAGTAGACCATAATGTATAATCCAACACAATTCTGGAACCATCAGTGATTAGAAAGCAATGATTTGCCTGTATTTAGCAAGTGCCATAAGTTTTTATCTTCATGTATAGAGAGACTTTTTTTTCTCATTCTCCTGTTATGTTACATATCATAATACACACTATTCACTCCCAATTCACAAGATAAACTGAAACATTGCTCAAAACAAATAAATATTTTATACAAGCTAAGCATTTGACATAAAAAATATATTCTTCTTATGAACTAATAGTCATATGAATCACAGCAATTTGCAACTAAATTTATATTAAATCCTAAAATTTGAGTCAAAAGTAGAAGAGCTAAACTGGCAAACAAGAATTCATTCAAAAATAGAAAACACAAACATTCATTACAAAAATCACAGGAAATACAACTTTCATATTTGTCACTCTAACATAATAGTTGCATTGTAAAATTAACAATTATAACTTGTGCCTTGTAGAGAACAACAGATCACAGGGCTCGAAAGATAAATTAAAACACATCAAAGCAAATAAATTATTCTCACCTGAATAACATATAAATCAAATACACGTATCGTCTTCCCTAAATCAACATTCCAGAACATTTTGCTTACTTCCCCTCACCCTCTTCGACGTCCTCTTCTTGCTGACGGGCAAACTGCAAAAAGACTTGCTCGAGTGTTGTCTGACTCAGCGCATATTCACTGATGAGTCTGTCACCTTTAGCTACAAACAGAGGATTGATAATTAGTGAATAAGGTTAATAAATAATTATGGGTCAAATAATAAATGCTATTACTGCTAGTAATAACAACTATATAAAAATCTGGGTTCATTCATTCTACATTAAACCAAGATACCACCTATCAAATGAGGTGCTCAGATAGAAGGCAAAATATATTTACCTTCTTTCATATTCGACTCAACTTATATCCAAAACTCTTCTTCCATACTACAAATTCTTCCAGTTCTGAGGCGTAATTTCCAAATTCAATACCATCCCAACAAGAAGGATATGTTAACTTACCCTTTTCCAGCATAGCAAACGAATCGGCTAGACTCTTGATATCGGACTGAGGAATCTTGTAATGTAGCAACTCCCCAAATTCTTCATCTAACTCAGCATTTGGAAAACTATTCATAATAATCTCTTTAACTTTTGTCACGATAGTTTCATCCCTGTAAAATTGTAAATATGTAGTAAATAAAAGTTTTTTTCTGTCAAACTTTTTTTTTTTATTCACAATTTGCACACATTCCTCTACAAGTCTTCTTGCTCTCTTTTTATTTCTGCATTACCTATGTAATATTCCTAAACACTTTATCTATAATTTGTGTCCAAAGCCTTGAGACTAACTGAACTAAAATACTCTTTAGGAAAATGTTTAGTACGTACTTTCATATTTCAAATGTTTTTATCAAAAGTCTTTCTTCACATTGCCCATATTCACCTTTTCACTCTAAAACACATACTCATTTAAAACCACTTAGAATACAGTTACCAATTCATATCTCATTCTAGCTTACTATTTTGTTCACCTACTTACAATGGGGTATGGGTGGGGCTTTCACCATTTACAGACACAGCACATGTTTCTTGCTTCAGAAGCTTGAGTTCAAGAGTATATCCTCCACCATACTTGTTTTTAAGATGTTGAACAGATCCTATACACCTGTTGAAAAAGAGAAGACTTCATGAATGCAAAAAATTACTTCTGAACACAATGACTATTACTACTCATCTGCACATCATAAATCTAAATCAATTACTGCAAAATACTGACCATACTCAATATCCAATGGGTTAAAATAGATAATACTATTGTAAAGAACTTATTACTAATGAGGTATAAAATAGGTAAATTGCGAAGCTGTGCCAGAGACAACTGATCTCAGCATAAATGAGCTACATGGAAATCTTCATACAATACTTTTTAATGTTAATCCTATACCAAAACTGTGGACCTCTCTGACCCGTGTTACGGATGTGCTGTACAGAATGAAAGTATTTATTCTTTATTTTTTGTCACTATTCCCATTAATGCCATCTTTAAAAAATGTGTGAAATATTACTTAAATTTGAGAGGGTTTTGCTTTATATCTTGAAAAAACTGTGCAAGATTAACTTACCTTAAACCACCACGCACTTGTATTGCAATTCTGGAACAAAGTGCATCCGCTTCTTCCATGGAATGAGTAGTCAGAATAGCACTCCTATTCCCCTGTGTAATGTACAAATAAATAGTTATGGAGCTTGTAATACAGCCTAACTCTGTATATTTCCTGAATTACTTTCACATATTTTCAAAACTAGCCTTTCTCAAATACTTTTCTGTTCATTTTTTTTTCTATCTGGATGTGCCTATCCTATCCTCTATCAATAACATATTTTGATATACTAAGAGCAGTACCTTAAAAGAAGCTAAGATAGAATTCCATAGGAACCTCTTTGACTGAGGGTCCATCCCTGTTGATGGTTCATCCATGAGAACAACTTTTGGCTGACCTGAAAAAAAAAAAAAATAAAAAACAGTATGACTACATTCGTATTGACATCAACAAATACAAAAGCTTTCTAATCACTTAGGAAAACCAATACCTGTCAGTGATAAACAACCTTAAGTCATCTTTTGTTTTGATGATCTCCAACTTGCTTAGGTTTCTAAAACAAAAATGACTATGCAGCTAATGAGATCAATTTTGGGAATTTCTCTAATAAGGTGAAAATTTTGAATGATGTCATATGTCAGCAGAAATGTAATTTTACTAAAAATTAATGAAGCCAACTTACCTAGCATGCTGATAATGTAACTCAACTTTCGTTTTGTGCCTCCAGAACATTCTTTGGTCTGCTTGTCTCTGTGTTCTTCAATTTCTAGGCCTTTTAGATACATATCCACTAACCTGAAAACATTAATAAAGATATGAATATTGTTACACAATTACACATCAAAAATTGCAGTTTTAATATACAAATTCCTCTTACGGACATATCCATGATTATCTTCATTATATCCAACAGGCACTTGCAACTACTGGTAACTGATATACATACATGAATGAATATAAACAACCAGATAATAAAACTGTAGAAATACATAAAGCAATAATACAGGGTTCTTGCAGGTATAAGTTGATGAAATTTGAGACCTTTTAAAGACTATTTAAGACTTGTACCAATTGCTTTTTAAGATCTGGAGCCACTTGTCATTAAAAACGCACTTCCCCATAATGTGTGAGCCTACTTATCGTGTCACTGTCCAAGATAAAAAATTCATCCTGACATGATTTTTACACAGCCTCTTGCATAGATTGTGCCCCAGAATTATTTTTTTTACACACAACCCATCATTAAATGGTCATGTCAATCAGCAAAGATTGAGGTCTAATGTTGAGAAATGATTTCCGATCAAGCGGTGTAGAGATCCAAAAGTGAGTGAATCACTGTGGCATTCTTCGATAACAGATATATGTACGCAGTCAAACTATATTCATCATAATATAACCCAGCACTAGTACTTACGGCTGGATTTGGTCTGGATGAACACCTCTAATTTCTGCATAACAGGCAATGTGCTCAGCAACAGTAACATTTTTCCAGAGTACATCATGCTGAGCACAATAACCCAATTTCTGGAACACATTAGAAAGGCCGGACTGGATGTCATCGCCACAGATTTGTACCTGAAATACGGAAAAAAAGAAATAAAGACTTGGGCCAACAGATTTTAGTTAGACCCCTACTTAAAAAGATATATAATAAATAAAAAATAAATTGATAAAATTTGAACCACAGAGAAATAAACCTCAAGACATAAATGTATATGTGGAAGTGGTGTTAACAAGTATTGAAATACTATATGTAAAAGTCATAAACTTGTTGACCCGACATGGCCAGAGAAGGCATGTATTCATCTGAGTACATGCCATGCTCATTGTGAGTTTAATCTGTAAATCATCTTGACACATGGATGGCTCCATAAAGCATGTAATCACCAACTACCTATCTCACCTGTTTACCCTTTTCCTTGATTTTCAGAAATATTTTCTTTCAACTTGTATTAATATTAGTACTGCCAATAACATTATAACGTCTGTAATAATAATAACAGCTTTGATACAGATAAAATTTGTAAAAAGTGGCTAAGCACTTGTGGAGCCATCTATGAGGAAACATTTCACAAAACAACACTACACTGAACGTTACATTTTCCCGGCAGCAATGAGTTAAAAGGAAAAAGGAGAAAAAGACTCAGAACTTGAGAACACTTTTGCGTATTTGTTTTAAGTATAATTGGAGATTTTTTTTTTTTTTTTAATTAGAATACAGCACACAAAGCAGGACACTATAACTCACTCTTCCTTTTGTCGGGCCCTCTTCTGCTGTCAAAACACGAAGAGTTGTCGTCTTCCCAGCACCGTTGGGACCCAGTAATCCGAAGACTTGGCCTTCTCGTACACTCAGTGACACACTTTTCACGGCAACAAACTCTTCATCTTCTTTCTTTTTACCACAGGCATTCTTGGCTCCTTTGTTGTACACCTTGCCAAGATCCTGAAATCAGAATGGAATTTTCAACATTAGGAAGAGATGCTGAAACAAAATTAATTACAATATTCTGTAATACCATTTCAGACTCCTATCATTTTCTTTTTATTCCAATTGTATATTCTGGTTCTACTGATCTAATAGCCAGCAACACTGCCAACTCAAGGGAACTGTCTGTAATATTTTAGGCTAAATTTGCAGCTTTGGGGGATAGAATACCACTGATAAGCTTTGTTGAAAGGTTTTACTTCATGGAATTAAACCCCTAAAATTGTGAATTTCAAGGTATCTTGGGAGAGAAATGGTTATTACATTGCATTTAATATAGCTAAAACTGAGTATATTTTGATGGGGATCAAAAGAATAATGGTATATGATTTTTCCTAAAAATGTCAGTTTATAAGCTATCATTATTTGTAGCCTGGTTTATCAATATTAAGTTCAAGGATATCATTATCACTGTTTTAACATTGTCACATTGCATTGTTATGAACAGTGAATATTTTCATAAGAAAAACTTAATTTCTACTATTCCTCAATGAAATCATTTCTTCAACAAAGTATATTATCATTTCAGTTATGAGAAGAATAATCAGTA